TGAGGTGGCTACAAGACACTTGAAAATGTAACTCAATTGAATATCACGACAAAACCCACACACACTCAACCAAATATAGAGCGAGCGAGAGGGATGATGTTGAAAGACAGAGACAAGTTGAGAGTAATGTGTTGCATATGTGACCAGAAATGAGAATAGGTTAAAGAGTTTATTATACGCTGCTGCCAACTGCTGTTCGGCTCAAATGACTCAGTTCTGTGTAAAAAAAAAACACCAAAAAAAACACTTGAGGCACGTAATTGAACGCATGCTCTTTATACATATATATATATATATATATATATATATATATATATATATATATATGTATATATATAGTATTATATATCGGCATATTGGCATTAAAGTCAAGGAACTTTCAAGCTGCTTTAAGACAACTTTTACCAGAAAAAATTGCATGTCATGCCATATGAAAGATGAGAGAGCCAGAGAAAAACAATTTTGTGGCTGGTCAATTAGTTGCGGCTTTTTGAAGAAAGAAAAAATGAAAAAATACCAGCCAAAACAGAGCACAATGTGTGAAGAATTACAGTTACGGCAACAAAAAAACGTATATAAACTAAATGGGCGAAACATATTGAAATCTAACAAAATATGTATAAGCATTTCTACGATAGCTTAGCCTAGAATAAGGTTAGCGAGAGTGAAGATGCCAAGAAAGAAATATAGAATTAATGGCTTAAGCAGCAATTGCTGCAGGTTCTGTGAAAGATATAATATGCAAATACAACAATTTAAACGGACTTAATTGCTCCAAGCAAAGCACAATAAAAAACCTAAGACAAATAGTTACGGGGCTCGAGGAATCATTTAAAAAAATGAATAAATCATAAGAGGTTAAGGGCTGAATTATACTGCTTGTGCTCATTAAATCTTAATCATTTCAGCTCGTTTCGCATCTAGTTCAACACAAACATAATGAATAAATACGAAAGCTTAAAACAAACGAACAGCGCTCAACCAAAAGAAATACCAAAAAACTTTAACGCAAATCGTTGCTTAAGCCAAAAGCAGCTAAAAGAATTCTAAAAGCTCAATGACACCTTTAAAATCCGAGTAAATAACTTGTAAGTACGATCGAAAAAAGAAAACGCACACAAAAAAAAAATAATCCCAATAATAACACAATGAGAATCAGCAGCAAAAGTTCTCAAGAAAACCCACAAAAATATAGCATGCGTAAATTTATTTGTATGTCGGCATAAGTTTGTTGAGACTTTCCGAGTAGGTGTCTCAGCTACCTTTTCTAAGCAGTTGCCCCCGTACCTGTCACTCAAACGCCCTCTGGCGCACAAATCCACATAAATATAGATATATATGTATATATATATATATAATGTTATGAATAATCACAAAGCATTTCAATGTAAATCTGACATTCTGGCCAAAAAAAACGCGGGCATCGCCAAATGAGCACAAATAATGAAAGCAAAGAAATCAAATTCGAAATGCACAAAACTTATGGCTAATAACTTAATTAACAAAAAGCAGAAAATATCTGTAGGTTGACTTTTTTTTTAAAAATTTGGCTTTTATAGCTTTCGGGAATATAACTGTATCGATATTTGCGAAACGGGGCAGTTATCGATAAACTGAAGTAAACTTTATCTGCGTGGTGTATTTGAGTTATATTCACAATTTTAAATCTTCAGACTTGACTGACTGATCAACATTTGACTGTTGATCTTGAGCAAGAATATATATATTTTATGGGGTCGGAGATGCCTACATAAATTTAAACAAAATCATTGATTACTTTGTACTTTAATGGGTTGAGGGTATAAGAAACCGAACAATTTAATTAAAATAGCTCATAATGCAATTTCCCAAATAGATTTAATAGCCAAGTTTATAGAATCGGCTGGCTGGGCCAAGACTTTAGTATATTCCGGCACGTGCGTTAATTTGTAATCGCGGCGTAGACACACACGAGCATTCATTATTTACATATACATATTTAGGGGCGGCGAGGGGCACACCTTGATTAATATGCGTGCTGGCTATATATTATTATTGTCATCTCACCCCCTTCCCAACCAAAATAAGGCACAGTAGACTTGGCCAAGCGCATAAATAATGTCGGCTGAAACATTTAAGTGGATGAATTTGTCTCTCGATGATAATTTATGCGGAAGTTTCTATTTGATTTGTTGCACTCCTTTGAGACGCGTGATTGAAAGTTTAATTAGTTGTAAATGCACTTCAGTTGAATAGCAGTGTAAATCATTTTAAGCACGTTTCAAGTTCAAGGTTTTATTTACGTATTTATAATATATTATATGTAATTCTTAATATATTAGTCAAGTTTAATTTAAATTCGATAAGCGTATAATAAGTAAATGCTTCAAGTGAGCTGAAATCAACTGTATGTGGAATATAGTTTGACTTATATGCTACAAATATTCTCCAGATATTTCACACAATATTTTTCAAAGAAGGAATTCAAATAAAGAGTTCGATTAATTTCCACATTATTTTTATTCCAATTTTCTTGGCATATAAACCAATTTTTCTCAATGAATATGAATTGTTGCAACCAATAACGACATGCGAACCAAAATTAGCTAGGGACATCGATAATACAACATTTTGCCTCGCAAAAATCCACATGGTTAGTCTTGTGTCATAAGGTGGCTTTCCCATATCATGCCTTGGAGCTTGCCTTGAATAAATATCAATTTATTTTTACCACACTGTTGGTTTTCTTATTTCAATGAACATTATCAGCACGACTCTTGGCGGCGGATATGAAGTGTTATGTATTATTGTGTTTTTCTGGCTAAAAACGACAAAAAAAAAATTGAAAGAAAAAAAAAACAAAAAGCCGCCAGACAACGGAAAAATGGAATTGGACAAAAAAATGCTCTCAGCAGCCGATGCCGAACATAGACAAAGCGCTGATTGGATTTAAAGTGACAGTAATAAATGACGAGAAAGGCGTGTTTCATTTATAAATATGGAAATAGCATACGCAATACACTGCTCCGATTCTTCGATATATACATATTCTTCTAGTATATATTCAGCCAAGAACTGGGTGAACTTGCACTATACAAATTAACCAAAATCCGACGAGACTGGACCGGGAGCCAAATAAACAGACATCGTCGCCACATTTCAGTGCTGACACTGACAGCCCAAACAAATTGCAGGGAAAGCGACTCTGCTGGCTGGCAAAGGGCGCCGGAGGCGGGAAGGGAGGGGCTGAGAACCATTCATCGTTCGAGTTTAATGTGTTTTTTTTACATTTTGCTTACGCAGCGGGCAAATATTGTATTTTTACTTTTTGTTTATGGTTGTTTTTCGTTCTTTTAATTTTTCTCATTTTCTTCATTATGTCAGTGTCAGTATTATGCAGCGCTCGCTGTAATATCGACACAATTGCAAGTACATGACTTACAGATACTCCTTGTATTGTTTTAAATAATGAAAATCATAATGTTGTGCATATATTGCGATTTCAGAATTTTAAATAATTCAAAAATGGAAATATGTAGCTAAATAATATTTAAGTTGTTTCAAAAGTGATTTGCATGCCCGTTTGATCAGCCATTTAATGAGTACAGGGTGTAGTAATGGAAAATGTAGGTACACACGTATTTTTAGGTGTGTCTTTTGTGGCATGTTCAATTCTTGAGGCTGCTGAGTGCCTCTGTTTCACTGGGGACCCAAGTGCTTAATTGTGTCGCGGTGGCATTTAAATGCCAGCGTAATGAGTTTAATTATGATTTTAATTATCTTGTATATGGCACGCACAAGTGGGTGACCAAAATACATGTGACTTGAGGAAACGATTGAAATGCGCCTTTTAAAACTCTTATTGATAATATCATAATAGTTTTTATTTATATATATTTTGCTGTGGCACATCTCATTCGCAATCACGTAGTGTGAAATTTCGCATTCGATAATATATATAAAAACAAACTAATTGACAAACAAACGCAAAGACTTTAAACACTTAATTGGCCGGCGCCAGACGGTCATTACTCGATATACGATATACCCATATATATATATATATATATATATATATATATAAATGTATATATAAATATTTATATGCCGCATGAAAGATAAACTTGGAGGCCAGCTTCCAGCCAGCACTCTCACTTAGACCTAAATGGCCATTATGAATGCCACTTGCGGCAAGTGCTGTGGCATTAATAATCCAGGCAAATCCGCAAACAGAGCTCATTTGCTACAATCCACCCTCCCCGAGTTCCGCCTAGCGATTTAAAAATCTCCACAATTCTAAGCAGAGCGAACAGTAAGTAAGTAAGTAAGTAATAATATTAAGAATTGTCCGCAAGGTGAATGCATAATTAATACATAATGCTTTTATTTTATAGGTGAAAATGTTTATGCCGCTATCAAATTAATATAAATAAGATATCTTTAAAAATAAATAAAAGATATCGCCCATATTAGGCTAACAAATTATTGCAATTTGCGAAAGTAACTTGTTAGAATTATAGGTTTGATATCGTCACAACATTGTGCCCTGCTCTGTTGCTGAGTGCCACATGAAAAATTTAGAAGCGAGTGCGGCAAGCAAAACAATTTAATGTCAATAAGGGAACTGGAACTCAAGAGACCAAATAAACAAATTATATCCTGGGTTAGCCGAATATTGCATTCCCTCTGCGTAATCCAAGTGATCAACTCTAAATTGCTCGAATAAAGCTCAAAAACTGAGGCAATAGTTCACAATCGAAGAAGACAAACAAACTCTGCTCGTGAGATGCTATTGAAGAATCACACTTTATAACAGAGTACAAACCCCCGCTGCAAGAGCATAAACCAAACCAACAAAACAACAAACGTTCAACGGCAATCCACAAAACGCATTAACGCTTAAATGGCCCTGGGACCAGGCTACCATTCTCCTCATCTTCTTTGTATTCTTATCATCATTGTTGCTGTTGCTGCTGGTCACTTTTTAGGAATGTTTGAGAAGAGCTTTTGGTTGATCTTACCTTAAATTTGGCACAGCTGCGGCAGCAGCAGCCGCTGCTTGCAGAGGCGGCGGCACATTGTATGGAAACGGCAACTTGGCCGCAACGGCTGGATTCTCGAATAACATTCTATTGCCGTTGTTTGCTTGGCTGCTGTTCTTGTTGTTGTTGTTGATGATGATTGGGGGGTTGATGGGGTGGTTGCCGGTGTTGGTGTTGTTGAAGCTGATATTGTAGTAAATTTTGCTGGCTTTTTATTTACTTTCGGTGCACAAAAAAAAACTATTTCTTTTGACTCTTGCGTGTTAATTACTTTCACCTTCCTTTTTCTTTTTTAAGGTTTTTTTTTGTAGTATTTTATTTTCGCACTGATTTTATTTAAGTTGGGCACATTTTTATTAACCCGAAATGGTTAGCTTCAATTGCTCGTTGTACACTCTAAACATTTACAAAAAATATACATTTTTTAAAATAAATTTAATTAATATTTCATGATTTTAACCCACTATATTCACTTATTCATTTACCCCTCCCCCTTTTCACATGACAAATTTCCCTTGCAAAAAGCGTCACATGTTTTGCAGCGTGTTTCTTTTGTTCTTCGCTTCGTTTGTGGTTTTAATTTCATCGTTCTTCCATAACTCTCTCACAGGCGGCTGACGTTGTTAAGCCTCTCCCGTTAAGAGCATCATTAACTAGTTTTGTTTTAATATCTTAGTTTGTTGTTGCTGCTGTACTGCTCGCTCTACTGCTTGCCATTAGCTGTTTGTTTCTTTCGTTTTTTTTTTTTTTTTTTTTTTTCAGCGCTGCTGGCTGTGTTGCTGGCGATTATGCTTTTACTTTCATTCGCAGCATGTTTGTTGCTGTGGCTGGCTTCTGATTCTGGCGTTGCTCTTTGCGTATCACATTCGCTTGACATTGCCGGCTTTTTTGACGCATACAGCGGCGAATTGCAATTGTATTGATATGAGTATAGATGTGTGTGTGTGTGTGTGTTAGTGTGTGTGACGATAAAAGTTGCCTTTGAGTTGCGTTTTGATAAACATACAAGCATACACGTATAGAAATTCATATGCATGCGTGTTAAATCTTTATGGCATGCGTGCAAGGGTAGCAGCAAACACACTCACATTTGACCATATTTTTTTTGTGTATATAGTAGTTTTATTTTTATTAATTAAATCGATTTGCGTGCATAAAAACACAAAAGGAAAACACGCACACACTTACACACACACACTAACAGCGAGCAAGGCAGAAAAGACGCACAGCAATATTTTTGCGACGTCATTGAATTCGCCGCACACATACATTTCAATGTGCTTGTGTGTTGGGTGTATGCTAAAAACTACCCAAAATAAAAAGAAAACGGGCTTACGCACCTCTTGGACTCCCCCTCTACCCACTTCTGTTCTTATACTTGAATTACTCACGCACAAATACACATACACATATACATGCAAGCACGCACAAATGCTCGACTAAGGAAATGACGCGTAACGCTTTGACGACAGCTATTACGACAAACGCCAATGCTTAGTTAGAGAGGTCCGCACAGCGCAAGGAACTTTTGTCAACTGAAACTAAAGGAGCGCTTCAGCAACGACTAAAGCGAAGAGCGTCACAAATGCAAGCAAGCTCGCCGCTCAACTCGTGCTCACTCTGTCTCTCACTCTGAAATGGCAGGACAAGCGCATGGAGCACTCAGAGAACTAGAGACAACGAGAGAGAGAGAGAGCGCGCTTAGGCAAGTTCGCCGCTTGGCGACTTGACTTGCTGCTTGGGGTAATTTGAGTAATGTCTCAGCCGACGATGGCTGCTGTATGCAACACATGCGGCCATGTGCAACATGAGTCGATGACGAAGATACCACAGATGTCGTAGTGCCACATCAGCCCTCTTCCCTTTCCTCTAGCCCAATCCCAGTGCAAAACATAATCATTTCCGACGTGTGCAGTTTTATGCACCGCTGCAAAAACAATACGCAACCTCTGGGGCTAAGCGGTTAAGCGGGCAGAGCAGGGACAGTGGCTGGGCAAGGGCAGGCGGAGCCAGCGACCGCCCGCGTCTTTTATATCGCTTTGTTCTCGCATTAAGCTTTCTTTGTTTTTCGTATTTCTTTTAAAGCTCAGCTTCAGTTAGGCGAACGCTCTTTGTTGACTTTAAAAAGCACCGCAAAATAATTGTTTAATTTATTAATGCGTTTCACACACACACACTCAACTATCGAGCCGTCACGCTGATTTATGGGAATTTTTGTTTAAGATACACGCACTGAAGCAGCGGCAGTGTGCTCTTGACTTTTATCTTTATTTGTTTTTTTTAGGCTTAATTTAATTTTCGCTTTTGCAAGCTGAACTTGAAATTGAACCACGTTTTCTTTATTTTTTTGTGAGCTATCAATCAGCAAACTTTTGAAAGCTCAGCATCAAGTCTGTCTGAAAGCTTCTAAGACCGTTATTTATACAAGCTGCATGCTGCACTTATGCAGCACATTCCTTGGGTTTCTGGTATAATTGATCACATGTTTGGTTTTCTTTTAGGTTTGTTGTTTCTTTTTTCGACGAATTTCAGTGCCTGGTACGCCGCAACCCCGCATATTCAATTACAGCATTAAAACACGAAGTTTCTAAGAATTTTACTTGTTTGTTTCTGCTTCTGCTTCTCTTTATTCTCTTCGTGAACATCGACTATTCTTATCGCAGCAACTGATAAAAACTAGAAACCACAAAAGAATTTCAAAATGAATGTTTTTATATTTTACAATTTTAAAAGTCAAACGAAATCCATAAAGAAGAATCGTAACTTTATAATTTTTATGTTGTTATGTTATGGAAAACAATACATATAAAATAGAGTCATCTTAAAACTTAAGCGTTCTTATCTGAATAACTTCCTGTTTCTTATTTATTTAATAACTATATTTAAAGTTCGCAAATATAATTAAATTGTGTCTTATTTAATGGTTTATTTTTAAAAATTTCAAGTTGCTTGTGAATAATTTAATCATTTTTTGTTTTACTCATTAGTCAAATATTATTTATTATTGTTTAAACATCGAGAGTAGATTGATTCAAGTTTTAATAATATATTTGATCGATTTACAAATATTTCATATGCGTAATTTTTGTTCTTTTCTTATAGTTTTCTTCTGCTATAGCATCAAACTAGATTTATAATATATTTTTCTAATATGTGTGCGCATATATATGTATATATATTTATTTTTAATTAATTTGCATGCATCACACTGGGACGCAGCTGTTATTATTATTTTTGTTGCAGTTGTGGTTGTTGTTGTTATTGTTGTGTTGCAATTTAACACGTAATTTAATTTCGCTCATGCAAAACGCCAAACGTTATCGCATTTAAATTAAAAACACAATTTTTTCTCATTTTTTTTATTCATTTCAATATTAATATTTAAACAAATTGGCAACGATTTGTTGCAATTGTTGTTTTGTTAAAATGCACTTTAAACTTAAGCTTAGGACAAAAGCTCAAAAATTTACTTTAATCTTGCGCTCAAAAATGCAAACAAAATATAATTTTGTTTGTTTTTAATTTGCCGCCTCTGAGCCTTTAACGGGGCTTCAGCTCCAATTTGAAGAACTTTATGAGACGAGAGAGAGGCTCTGGCCACAAAGGAAACGGCGATAAAGACAACAATGCAGACACAGAGTAACAATTGAAATCGACGTAGGCGAGAGATGACAACGACGACGCACAAAATTATCCGCACGCTAAACTTGACGCTGTAACGGTCGCAACCACACTGACGCAACTGCTGGCGTCGCCAAAAAGTATGGCATTCAATTCGCTTGACAACCGACATGCTGCTCTCCGACGCAATATATTCACATACACATATACATATGATTTCTAGCGGCCAGCATAAAAACCAAAACAAGAGCCCTCTACTCAAAGTCGCTCTCTCTCTATCGTTCTCGCTCTCTCTCTCTGCAATCGAGCGAGCGAGTGAGAGACGTCATTGGGATCGCCATGCGGCCATTGCAAAGCCACTGCTCACTCAACCGCTCTCTCGCTCCAACCACCCACAAGTCGTGCAGCAGCAGTAAACATTCGCTGCGGTTTGCTCAGTGCGGCGAAGAGTAGCTTGTTTTGCTTGTTGTTTGTACGGCGAATTCGCTCAAAAAACGCCAATTGGATAAGGCAGTGTGAGATGGCGCCACACAACTGTGTTGGCGTCTGTGTTGTTAGCTCGCTTGCACTTGCATGCATTGCAATCCAATGCTCGCAGTTCCATATTTCCGTTCTTGAATCGCTTTCGATTCTTGTTGTTGTTTGTGGTGTGGATAAAAATGGGCATCTCTCATATGGATGGATGTACTTATATTGCCCTTGTATAAGATGTTGGGTGTATAAGTTGTGGGTAATTTTTCGTGTTTGAGTTGGGATTTTTTGTTGTTTTTTAAGGAATTCATTTATGGGGAACTGTTAATAAATATATTAAAACACGCCAAGTTTTATAATTATATCCACACCCCATAAATACAAAAATATCAAAGTCAATTTTCAGACTTGTAACGAGTAAACATCAAAGGCCACAAAGATTTTTTTTAAAAGTATATTTTTTCATTTTTGTTGTCTTTGCTTTTTATAAAGTTTACGCGCAACAAGCGCAGCCCCAACGAGTTCCACAGCAGCTAAGCAGCTGACGGCTAAAGAGTTTTTTCTCTCCTCTTTCACTCTCTCTTTCTCTCTCGCTCTCGCTGTTTCAGTTTTACAACACGCGGAGAAAAACGGAAAACGGAACACAAGAAACTTGTTTGCTGCGCCTGGAGCAACGAGCAAGACTCGAAATATACAAGTACAACAACAACAAATGCACAGACACGCTTGCGATGGCTGATAGGGTGAGGGAGGGGGGGAGGGCAGCGGGTGCGGGTGCGCCTGAAGTAGACAGGTCAAAGGAGCAGACGAGCAGACAACGCGCGCACCCTTCTCGTCCCTCTCATTCTATCTATCTGGTTCGGCAATAAATTTTAGCCGCCGTCTTCGATTATGTTATTGGAATGGGCTAAGTGTGGAACGGCAAATGGCAAATGGCGAATGGGAAACGAATTGGGAATTGGCTGCAGACTTTGCAGCCAAGGTAAAAATACTCGACAAATGTATAAGAAAAAAAACGCAGCCAGCAGCAAATTGGGTCATAAAAGTAATTAGTGGAATCTGGTCATTATATACAATATATATTATTTAGCTACTTTTTGTTTGACTGCTTTTAATTGGCCACACAGCAACAACAACAACAACAGCAGCTTATAAAATTGGCCATTTTGAGTCGCACACAGTTTTGTCTGGCAATCGACACGGTGATTTAAGGCTGGACGAAGGAGCAGCTGCGAGAGGTGGGGGTGGGGGTGGCAGCTTTAACCAGTCAAAGTTACGGTTGTAAGTCTATTAATTAAACAGCCATAAACTTAAATCACGTCTCATTGCTGCAGACCAGGGCTGGAAAGGTAACTAAAGAACAAAGAAGAGTTTTGGAAATTGATCGAACTTATCGAAAGTAATTTCTTCTGTTAAACATTATTGTAATTAAAGTATATGCATGAGATAAACAAAATTATTGGTTAACAAATTTGATAGAAATACTTTAAAATATGAATTACAGCTAGATAAAAATATTATTATAATTAAAATCAACTAAGTCACATATTTGTTGCAAACTAAATAAATAAAATTCCCAAAATACAAATGCTTAAAAGAACATTTAAAATCCATAATATAAAATAAAACTTAAAAATTTAAAAATATTATCATTACAGTTATAATTTATATTAAAATTATTGTTACATTCGCTGTTGCAAAATAGATAACCATCACTTTATATAGCCGAGCCACAACTGGCTGAAAGGAAGCCGCTAACAGCACACTTAATCAGCCTTTAAGCCTTGAATAGTATCAAATATGGCCTTTTTGTGGCACCAACATGTCAGTCATTTATTAATGTGTCCTTTGCATTTGCTGTTGCCGCTGTCAGCGTTGATGTTCAGTGTTTGTGATGGGCGCATAACAATTAGCCGGGGCTCAGAGGCTGCAATCAACAGCAACAGTAACAGCAACAACAGCAACAGCAGCAACAACAACTGCAACTGTATCCCAAAATGTCAGACAACAGACAGATATCAGATATCAGGCACATGTGTTGCCACATTCAGAGTCTGCCACACCAGACACGACTGCCGCCTGGCTAATGAGCAACAACTGCAGCGAGGGGGCAGGAGCGAGTCGAGAATATACCACAATTTTTGCTCGGAGAATTACTTGTTAACTTAATCTAAGCATTTTGTACTTAAGCCACTTGTTTATCGCTGAGCATGTTTTTTTAATGATGTGTGAATTGCTGGTAACTATGGCAAACATATTGTCACCCATCTTGAAGTTAAGAGTATTTAAAACATTGTTATTGATATTATTAAATTTGAAATTTTATTAAATTTACTTTGAGAGGAGGAGATAAAAGACCTTTATGAGTAAAAATGCACTTATAAATCAATATTTTATAAGCAACTGAACTATGCACTGAATGCTCACTTGAAACTTTGAGAATCTCGTAGAAAGGCGGGAATTAAATAAGAGAGGGTACAGGATAGTACAGCAAGTAAGAGAGATGGATAGAGAGCGACGGCAATTTAGACTGAGATGGGAATATACTCTTATTTATTTCTTTCTTTCTTTTTATAAAAATAAACCCATAAGAAAACATATAAAACTATTGCTATAAGGCAAGAGGCAAGTAATAAAGTAAATAATAATTCGTTTAAAAATAACAAGCATACTTATCACATATTTAGCAACTTGAGCAATGCCAACTCATTTCTTATTCATATGTTTAAGTATGAAAAACTTTAGAAATCCCCCACTGGAAAACAAAAGAGTTGTGTGTGTGTGTGTGTGTGTGTGTGTGTGCTTTAAAACAAGCGTAATGTCATCAATCAGTGCACAAATTTGCATTTTCTGGACTGTCTATTTTTAGGAGCCCACACTGTGTGTGGGGTGTTGGCATAAATAGATACATATGTAGCTATGTATAAGTATGGGTGCTCTGTCTGTTCGTCCTCTGTCTGTCTGTCTGTCTGCGAACATGTGTAGGGAGAGTGTATCCACGAGCATCTGTCGTTGTCAGCGCATCAGCGCGCTTCATCAGTGCGCTGATATGTAAATCTCATAAATCATGCACACCTGTCCTCGATGGCAGCCCTGGCGACAGCAGCGAGAACCAGCTAACAGCTAACAGGACGAGCTGACAGCAACCAGCCCCAGCGCAGACATGTGTGTGTGTGTGTGTGTGTGTGTCAGTCGTGGTCAAGCCTTTTTGGGCTTGTTGTGCGCTGTCTTTGCTTCATAGAAATGTTACAAAGGGTATACAAAAAGAGAGAAAAAAAGGTGCGCAACGTGATGCGTTGCAAATTGATTAGCCACGTGTAGCAAATGATTGTTGGTCAAACGCGACTAACAAAGTGTCTACACAAGTTTGTAAATAGCTTCATTTTGAGCGAGCGAACAATATTTGTGTGATTGATTTTATGGATTGACTCATTGATAATCACATTGGCAGTTACACGATTTGGTTTGAGCTCTATGAATATATCAAATCTTAACTGCTGCAATTAAACCATTCAAATCGATGGTCTAAATGACAATGTAACAAAAATTCATAGCGTTCTTCTGCGGGCGATTCTCAGCAGCTGCTCTTTGTAATAAACCAGGCTCTCACTAATTGCTTGGCCACAGCACCTGCTGCTGCTGCCCGGCTGGAGGCTTAACTGGTTCTGGTTGTGGCCTAGAGGACGTTTAGCAGGAAAAAACCACAAATTTACATAAATATGCCACAAATCATAGCTGCACGGCAAGTGTCGCCCAAAAAGCTGACTCTGTCTGTCTCTTTCTTTGTCTCTTGCTTTGTCTCGCTCTCTCTCCCTCTCTCTCTCCCTCTCTCTCCCTCTCTCTCTCTGTGGTTGTGTGGTTTGTGTGACGGACGAGTCGGCTCCGATATTAAAAATGCATGAAAAGCACAAGTTAATTTTTTATCCACACTTTCAGTGCAATTAAAAGTAACCCACCAAAAAAATAAACAAGTGCCAAATAAATAAAAAACACCATAAAAAATATCATGCATTATTTATATGCGCCATATGTTCTAGGCGTATTTATGCGACTATACCTATGGATTATATTATTATATATACACTCTGAAAAAATGAAACTGACTTTCTATTTTCCAAAAATGTACTTCTTCATAATGGACAATATTTCTAATAAGTTGAAAGGATTTAGAAACCGCTTAGGTCTTATGTGAAATCTGAAAATACTAATACTTATTTTTTATTATAATTTACAGATTAGCGTACTGTACATCTAAATATTTTTATATTATACTAAATAAATGTACTCTGAAATTGAGAAGAGATGTTTTATGGGTGGGCGAGGACAACCTTCCGTCTTAATAATATATATTCTGAAAAATAAGGTGAATTAAGCTTTGCGCTAATTTCTAAAATTCAATTAAATTTTTTTCCAAGTGTATACATATTTCTATATATATCCTGACATTTCCATACACTAACAGTGAAGCTCTGCGACTGTGATGAAAAGCGTAAAAGATTTTCAATTTGATAAGATCATACTACACAGATCTACATAGTCTATAATATATATATATATATGTTATATATAGTTTTGCTAACTTGTCTTCAATCAGATACTCAAAACTGAGCTTATGAAAAGAACTCAAGAAACAATTAATAGAA